ACTTACATTTCTGGACATTTCCTGTATCACCTCGTATGTTTTTCTTTTATATGTCTTATCTATTAGGACGTAGGTGACCATGCTTCTCTAATTTTTCCTTTCATTTTTTTGGGCCCTAAATTTTGAATTTTTAACATTTCTCTTTGAAATTGTTCTGCCTTCACAAAAAAAAAAAAAATGTCAAAATGCTCGCAGTTTCACGTGTTTCTCTTGACTTCAATATGCCTTGTGAGTGTTCGATTCTCTGTGTCGTCTTTCCTCTTTACGCATTCCAGAACTTGCAACTGTCTCTTTATCATCAAATTTACTTATAAATCTTATTTTCCTTAACGCTCCTTCGTTTCTCCCATGTTTTTCACCTGCTATTCACAGTATTCACATTCCTCTCGCTTCAGATATCACGAGTCAAAGAAGTTAGCAATTACAATTATATGTGGTACCAATATTACAAGGATTCTAATGTTGTAGCGATAACTTGACGTGATGATTGCAAATGTAAAATTTAGTTTATAATGAAGGCAAGAAGAAGAAACAAAAAAAAGGCAATGATAAATTTTCAACAGACATGCTTTCGTAAAAAAAATATAATCTTTAATGATGAAGCCAATAGAAATACTGGTCATAATAAAAAAACAATGACGATGGTAATAATGGCGATCGCGAGTGCAGTTATGATAATGAAAATTACTGTAATAATGCATTGTTCCGGACAACATTGTTGCTAACCATTTTTCTGGCTTTTCCCAGAAGAAAAGGAAACATTATTCATCGATCTTGCTGTCAAACAAGAGGAAAAAATATGCGGAAAAAATCCAGACAACATTTAAAGCTATTAAATCGATTGCATTTTTCCTTGACATATTTTCTCTTGTTGTCTTTAGACATGGTGGATATTTTATGAACATCAAATAAAATAAATAAAATAAAGAATAGAATTTGAGGGACAAATTACCAGATAGCTCATAAGCACAAATCTTTTGTCTCTTTCTTTTGGATTTATTAAAATTCACCAACATCCTCTAGCTGCGTATTAAATAGCTAAACAGATTAGGCTCTCCATCCTCTATTATCAGCCCGTCGAGAAAAATTCTGCATTCAAATCCCTTCGAGAGAACAGGGAGAAACTATCTTTTCGGAGAATAAATATGGTCAGGAACAATTTGCATATAATAAGACAAAGAGAATGCTATAAGAAAAAAAAGAATGTGATAAGACATTTTGCCTACATTCTGAAAGAACACAGCACTTAAGATTGCGGAACTTTTATTATATACCTGCTGCCTAGAAGGCACGGTGGTGTAATGGATAGCGGATGGCTCGGATTGAGGAATCGGAGAGCCGTGTTCGAATTCCAGTCAAATCCATTACCTTCACTTTCGTACTAATACCGTCGGGAAAGTTATGAATCCACTTCTTCTTCCCTAGCTATGGGAAAATAGCAGGACAGACCGGGTTCTATTGCCTTGGATAGCAGAAATATTACCGCAGAATAAATGGCAACCTAGTGCGGGGAAAGATCTGCCTCGTCAGTCATGTATCGAAAGATACATGATCGGCTAAGCGTGTATCACGTATGACACATAACTGACTGTCTTTTGTTATACGTATATATATATATATATATATATATATATATATATATATATACAATACAAACTTGTGTTTGTGTTCGTATATATATATATATATATAAAAATAAATATATATGTATATGTGTGTGTGTGTGTCTGCGTATATATATATATATATATATATGTACAAAATTGTGTATTTGGACAGGAATACCTCTTTTATACAAGCTTCATTAAAATGCCCTGACAACACTCAATATCATCAACTAAGATCACGGCCACAATGTGCTGACCGTGTTTAGAAAATAAAACATTCCTATAACTTTAGATACACGCATCAGACAAGTCAAAATGAAACCATCCTTGATAATGACTGGGAAACCATTCGGGCAATTTCTACATAATTTTTTTTATCCAGAAGAGAAGAAAATTATTACAACACAAGAAACAATAAGATATATTAAAAAATTTAAATTTTCAGACACCCTGGGTTGTATATAATTATGTTTTTGTTTTATTATCTCAATTAGGTTCCTCGACCAGTTTCGGACAGTATGGCCATCATCAGGAGGAAATAAAATCACTACTTGTTATTTTCAGTGAACTACTGGAGTGAATGTCTGTTTCTGAAGGAAGTGAACTTTATCTGTAGTTTTCATTGTTTTTTTTTATCGTTAATTTTAGTCAGTCTTTGCGTTGGTCAAACGGCCTATTTGAAGTTGTTTTTAAGATTGAGGATGGTAGATTCTTTGGTCATATTGAGAGTTTTATTGGTTCCTGGGAATGAGACGAGTGGGTTAAGTGTATGTTATTTTGTAGTTCTTTGAGAGTGTGTGGTTTGATTTGCATATATTTGTGCAAGTGTGTGTATAAGTGTTACGCACACACACACACACACACACACACACACACACACATATATATATATATGTGTATGTGTGTGAGCGTGCGTGTGCGTGTATATATATGTGTTTGTGTGTGTGGGTATGTATGTATGTATGTAAATGAATATGTATATATGTATGTAAATGAATATATATATATATATATATATATATATATATATGTGTGTGTGTGTGTGTGTGTATTCGTTATATACGTTTTCGCTTTTTTAATTCTATGTCCTTTTGTTTTTCAGGATCTGCACAGATTCATTTTCTTTATTATATGTGAATTGCCATGCATTCTTTGATATTTTAGAACTGTTTCATTGCCTTCTCCGTGAATTGGAATTCAGACTATTCGTTCTCTTTGACTAGTCGCGACTTAAGGATAGAAATACTATTCTATCCTGCTATTTAACTCATAGCTGAAGTTTAGGAGATGAAATGGATTCATGCCTTTCCCATGAAGATTGAATGTGAAAGTTAGTATAGACAAGGCCGATAACAGGTATTTGCACATTCACTCATTGTCATTTGATTTTTGTTTTTAACATACGAGGCTATACTTAGTAACTGTACACACTGATAAGCACTGTTTTTACCGGGCATAGAGCAGTAGTTCGTAATCTAGTTTTGCAAGCCATTGTATTTGGAAAAGATTCTGAGTATCTATATAGTAAGGTGTTGTGTCATACTAAGGGAAAATAAACACATTTATTTTATCAATAAGTTGATATCCTTGTTCTTGAAAAATCAGTGTTGTATATACATATATATTCAAATCTCTCTCTCTCTCTCTCTCTCTCTCTCTATATATATATATATATATATATATATATATATATATATATGGGGATAGAGATAGAGAAAAAGAAGGATAGATAGATAGATATTCAAATGATTAAACATCCGTCTTGAAGTTTTGTAGAGATAAATCTAATTTTTTAATCGTTTTACCCGAAAGAAGGCGATAATGCCACTAAGACACACGAGGTTACTGGGAGTTAAAGAGAATGGGAAGAATATAGTGAGGAGAAAGGACAATAAAAGATCAGCATTCACGAAGACAGAAGATGCCGATTGACGTTGAACTTAAATTTTTGAAGATCGTATGAAGCGAGGAAGCATGAAACCGAAAAGGCAGTTCCACAGGCGAGAAGTGTGATTAAAAAAACTATTAGAATAGAGTATACTGTCGAATCTAGATACTTCGGCACTGAAACAGTGAGGCCTAGTTGTCCTCTCTCGTATTACCCTTAAATTTGTGATGCCAGGGTACCAAGGAAAAAATATCACCAGAGAAATGACAGAGGGAAGTCACAATACAGCGGTTAGAAAATGACTGATGTCGAGATCCTAGGTCAGAATTGGCAACATTACAGAAACGTAGCTTATATGTGGCACAAAGCCGAAAGTAAAGGGCACCCAGTGAGAATCAAACTCACTAATCAGTCGTAATTGTTCTAGCGAAACAAGCTTGCTAACCATTACACCACCTCGACGTACCCCTATTTTCCAAGCATAGCTTAAATATGGCACAAGGCCGAAAGTATGGGGCACCCAGTGAAAATCAAACTCACTACTCAGTCGTAATTGTCGCTATCGAGACAAGCTCGCTAAACATTACACCACCTCGAGGTGCCCTTATTGATTTTCTAAGCATAGCTTAGATGTGGCACAAGGCCGAAAGTAGGGAGTACCCAGTGAGGATCAAACTCACTACTCAGTTGTAACTGTTTTAGCGAGATAAACTTGCTAACCATTACAACACGCCGAGATGCCCTAGTGATTTTCCAGGCGTAGCTTAGATGTGGCACAAGGCCGAAAGTATGGGGCATCCAGTGTGGATCGAACTCACGACTCAGTTGTAATTGTTCTAGCGAGACAAGCTTGCTAACCATTACACATCCTTGAGGTGTCCAAAGCATCTTGAAATATATAACAGAAACTCCAAACAAGATATGCCCGGATGAAGGGTAGATTTAGAAATGTGCAAAATGGATTCTGACGAGAACAAATCCATGGCGCAGGTGAATCAACTTCCCTAGAGTAGATCCAGCAACTGATTGAATATAATGACTTAACTAAATACCACTGGGAAATGAGAGCACAAGAAGGCACAAAGTGCTGCGTTTTTGTATGTTAGCAACAGTCATGCTGATGCAGGACGGAAAAATGTTCTTCACGGTGATTAAATGACAACAGTTTTGTTTCGGAGGCTTTAAAATTTACAAGCCGTTCCTTGCCTCAGTTAACAACTGATTGGAAGTCCTTTATCTTTGCCCTGACGGGTGGAAATATGTCAAAGAAACTTCAGGTCGAGAGCTATAAATCATTTGAAGTTTTATTTATCTATTCACTCTTCGTACGATATTCTTTTAGTTGTGAGCACACTTCAATGTAAAAAAAAAATATGCTCGCTTTGAATGCATTATACTTCAGTAATGTACTTATCGAGATATGTTGACTTTTTTTTTAGGAAAGGCAGTTATAACGTCTTAGATTATTAGAGTTTTAGTGTATCATTATCAAATAAGCTGATTTAATGGATGTTATCAGTCTGGGGAGTAATATTTTTTTGACTAAATCATATCAAACCTTATATAGCAGTAATCTTACAGTGTCAATTCCTGATTATACTGCTGTACACAATCAATCTATCTATCTATCTATCTATCTATCTATCTATCTATCTATCTATCTATCTATCTATTTGTTCATTTTTATCTATCTCAGTCTGTTCAAATTTCTTCGTTTCTGTACGTACTTAACAAGTTTATTCGCATCATATTTACCGTATATATTCCTGTATAAGCCGCCATCATATACTGTGCGACCCTTGAATTTTTGTATGAATTTTAACCTCAACAGAAGAATGTACTTATGTGTAGGGGAGCCGTTCCCCGAAAAGGCATAAATTTTAATTCGTTAAAAAATCCCAGGGTATAGTAGGACAGCATATCTTTTTTTGTAAAAAAACAGAAAAAAAACTCGCACTATACTCGAATATCTATCTATCTATCTATCTATGTTATTTTGTTTGTTTCTATATATCTATTTGTCCCTATTTATCCTTCTCTCAATCTGTTTTATTTTCCCCTGTTCCTATTAATTTTGGTAAGTTTCTCTCTCTCTCTCTATCTATCTATCTATCTATCTATCTATCTATCTATCTATCTATCTATCTACTCCAGTCTCTTCGTATTTATCTATTTATCTATTCATCTCATTAATTTCATATCTATCTATCTATCTATCTATCTATCTATCTATCTATCTATCTATCTATCTATCTATCTATCTATCTATCTATCTATCTACTCCAGTCTCTTCGTATTTATCTATTTATCTATTCATCTCATTAATTTCATATCTATCTATCTATCTATCTATCTATTTATCTATCTATCTATCTATCTATCTATGTGTGTGTGTTTGTGTTTATGCCTGTATTGGTGTGTCCGTCTTTGTGTGCCCGTGTGTGTGTATGTGAATTATTTGCAGCGAAGGATTATTTTTTTAAAATACCCTGTTCCAATGTATTTGAGATGTGCTTTTCTAATTTAAAATATATGACATTATTTTCTTGCACGCCATGGGTGAATTCAAACGAAGATAATTTACTGAAGAAATCCTTCTGTCTGCTAAATTTGGCAATATCCAGATGAGAATTAATCCGTAAATGATTTTTTTTTTCATATTTTTTCATCACAATTTTAAATACCAAACATTTTTCCTTCTCTAATAACGGAAAGCCTCCGCTGGAAAAAATATCGTAAAAATAAAAAAAAGAAAGATCATTTTTTTTTTTTTTTTTTTGCGGAGAAAATTTGAACTAAATTGAAATCTGGGATTTCGTTTGAACCTCAACCCGTTCTAAGTCTATTTAAAACAGCACGCTTTGACATTAAGAGCGTTAATTATTCGGGATGTTTCCAACCTGGAAAACAATCAAAGTTTAAACATGGCATATATGGTAACCCGTTCTGGAAATTTCGACAAGCGTTAATCAGTCCTTTTGCTGCTACTATTACAACAACAACAACAACAACTAATAATAATAATGTTTTATTTTTTAATTGGTCAGTGGAAAATGTCATGATGCCATTTCTGACCTTAGGTCTCTGGGCGTGACCCGGAAAGAAATGAGTACACACACACCAGAAATCAAAGGAAATAAAACAAAAAAATAATAATCCTGTTATTATGCACCTTGATGACGTGGACGATATGGATCTCAACAACTTTCTAGCTTTTGTAAATATATTAGACTAGCCCCTAAATGACAGATAATCTGTGCGACATTGGTCATGAGCGGGAATGGGGGGGGGGCATGAGGTTTGTGTGTTTGGAGGATTACTTTTAAGTGTGAAGGGTGAGACAGACAAGATGTCTTAGGCATGACATCTAAATACCCCGTGAATGCCCTCAGTCGAAAACTATCTGAACTCATTGGGTTCATCGGCTTGTAGTATAAGGAAATCGCGTAGGCGGAACAGGCGAAAATATAAAGGCACCAAGAATTGGCATGGTAAATCAGATAAATGCAACGAGCGGCAGTGCAAATTGTTCCTTTTGTGGTTGGTGCACTCTGGACTATTTCTGGGAATCTTTTTGCCTGGCAGGACGCCTCGAAGGCTGGCTTGAGGATATCTTTTGGTCGCAAGTGTGATTTCCCTCCAAGTGCTCCTTGCCAAGATGGTTGTATGTCACAACTTGCACATTCTCAACTACTGGCGATGGTAGATGCTTGCTCGAGAACCTTGTGCACATGAGGGCTTACTTCCTGCAGAAACACCGATGTATTCTAAAAGCTACTTTCTCATGATGTCGTTGGTTGTCTTTTTGGGGCCATATCAGAGCAGACACTTACAATATGTTGCACACTATCTTTAGATTTCTTACATAGCTTGCACAAGGCTAACTCAGTTGTTCTAACAAATAAAGTACTTTATGGAGTGTCTTCTTTTGTTCTGCAAGGACCATCTTTTCGGGTTCCTTTTTCAACCAATTCCTAAGCCACTATCCTATTTCCACATTTGTCAAATCTTGGGTTTCTTGTGTAAATACTGCGTGTTATAACTTTCCCTTTCATGAATCGACTTTATTTCTATATATATATATATATATATATATATATATATATATATATATATAAATTTAATGAAAAACAAGGCCACTTTTACCATTACAATAATTTATTTCACCAAAATCCTTTTTAAAGGTATTCGGATCATCAGGTAACACTTCCAACAATGGACTTCCATTGTAGGAAGTGTTAGTTGATGATCCGAAAATTTTAAAAGGATTTTGGTGAAATAAATTATTGTAATGGTACCTTTAAAGTGGTCTGTTTTTTTCATAAAATATTAGCTCTGTTCTTCACATTGAGCTCTCAGGATTTCATCCTCCTTGGATTTACCAATTCGGTTTACCAAGTTCTTCATAACTTTATATATATATATATATATATATATATATATATATATGTGTGTGTGTGTGTGTGTATTACAAATGAGTTTACTAATTCCTCGTAGTAAGACAGTAGATGTATGGAGGGGGAATATACACACGCATATATACATGCATGCTGACAGAAACACACGAAAATGGAAATAGATCTAAGAACACACAGGGGTCATTAAAACATTAAAAGATAAAATGCCGAGAAGTAATTCATCATATCTCCTGGACCAACCTTAATTGTTTTATGACTCTTCGCGCAGAACTCTTCATTCAAGAAAGACATTCGGATTACTAACGCAAAAACAGAGAATGTCTTATATCGAGAATATTTAACATTGAAAAACATAAAGGAAAAACATTAATTATTTTTAATAATATGTGGAAATCTCTGCTTTTACCTGAAGACGGTCACGAGACCAGAAACACGTGTAGTAAAATTATGGAAAATAAAACATAATATTTAAAAAAAAATCCTCATTACAACGGAAAATGTTTGCGGCACCTCTCTTCTCTTCTTTTTAATATATATATATATATATATATATATATATATATATATAACCGGCTGCCCGTTTCCATACACACTCGTTCTCTAGGTCGGCTAGCTAACCCCCTGTTGCAAACGCATGTTCTGATACATTTGTGTTTGTTCAAAATCCAGAGGGCCCACCTATGTTTCCTACTGCGGCTATGCTGAGCGGACGACAGGTAAGTTTTCCGGGCGAGAGTACATCATCTGTCGTGATCAACAGTTTGTACAAGGCCAGTACGTAGAAAACCTCGGTTACGATGACTTGTGACGTCTACCCAATCACAAATCTTGGCTTAATCACAGGTATAGTTCTCGAGCACATTATAACGGTGACACAAAATTGTATCACCTTCCCACACCGATATTATCAAGAAATCACCTTGTTGAAAATCGACCATGGTGAGATTCGAACCTGGGTTTACTGGGCGGAAAACGAAAGTTCTTTTTACGCTCCTAAACATTCATGCATACATGCATAATATGGAAGTAGTTCTAAACTTTGCATTTATTAGCAACATCATTCGAGATTCAATGGGAATTTATACGCAGAATAACTCGACATTCTTCTAAAATACATTACATAACTGAAAACATTGTCTATATATTACGAGCATTCGCGGTATTTATCCAGAATCCCGCATGTAACGAACAAATTCAGAGAAAACGAGGTGTCGACTCCCTACTCTACAGGTTCATTCATTAAGTAAAGGAAAAAAATACTGATAAAATCTGTGTTTATTAATACTTTTTTTTATTTTTACAAATCTTTACGGCATCTTGAGTAACGTCCGTCGAAAATCACTTTAAGCAGGAAATCTCCTGTGACGAGCTAATGATGCATCGAAACGTCGAAGCCATTAAGGTCTCATGATTGAACGCAATCTCACGTCCGCCGGATCGAGACAAAAATGGAGGACTTCACGAGCAGGAGAAAAAAATACCCAGGTTGCAGGGAGGCAAAGAGAATGAGGTGTGAGCGGGGTAGTCAGCGTCGATGGGATGATTTTTATCAGCAGCTTTTATTTTTCTGTTATTCAAGGGAATATTTTTGTTGTATCAACAGTACAATTTTCTTTCAGAACGCTGCCTCATTTTCTGTTATAGCACGTTCATGCTAAGGTATGTCAAAATGTCGGGTATTTATTACTACATATATTGTACCCATATAAATGGCGGAATTTTGTATCTGTGTAAGCACTTTTGTCGAAAACAGATATATATGTGCTCTGTTAAGAGTTTTACAGACACACACGCACACAGATACTATATATATATATTTCAATTAAAGGTGCAATTATAATTTATGAATTCATGAATCATTCATACAAAAAACAAATATGGAGGTTAATGATTTAAATGGCGAGATTACATCTTCGCAAACAATATAAATAAGATACACAAACCCCGAACCTGTATATGAATGATATGATCCCTGTTTATACATTTAAATCATTAACTTCTATATTTGTTTTTTTATGAATGAATGATTCATGAATATATATATATATATATATATATATATATATATATATATATATACACACATATATATATATATATATATATATATATATATATATATATATATATATATATATATATATATATATATATATATATATATATATATATATGGGTTGCATCAACAATACTTTTACAAACATTGGGGCGTGTTCCTCACTCTAAAACAAGGACAAATGTCCATATAAACTTGTGTCCGCAAACACTTCGTTTTAGATTTATTAAGTTTAAAGTAAGCTTATGATAGATGGCGCTATGTTGCTATGTAGACGAGGTTTAGGTTACATTTGTCATTCATGTACATTTGTGGCTGGTCGGTTTTCAACTTTTAACGTACTTAGTAGCGAGTTGACTGAGAAGATCCTTTTAACAATGCCAGGATATTCATATTGTGATCAGGCAGATATGATTTTCACATACGGCCGCCAGAATCCACGGCTGTATCAGATTCCTTTTCCAGACCGAAGGTAGCCGAGTCATCCAACCTTTGCTGCTGTTTATCATCGTGTTGCGGAGAAAGGATTCGTGGCACCACAAACTATAAATCGACGAAGACTTGGATCCGCTCAACACATTCTACAGGCTGTCGGAGATGATCTAGATTTCAGCACATATGGCCGTATCTTGTCGTACATGACATAGTACCACATAGAGGGTACTTCAAGTACAGCTCCTTTATCCGTATCTTTTGCAAAGTGTTGCAGGGTCTTTCACCCTCTGATTACTCACCACGAAAGAACTTTTTTCCGACGGTTTATTACACAAACTAACAATCCGTTGTTTGTCTATTCAGTCTTGTTTACGGATTAGGCAACGTCTGGAAGAGATGGAATAACAAATTTGCACAATCAACATTTTGGGGCGGATCGGTATCTCGCATGGTACAATACAGTTTAGACACCGGCATT